TTCAGCTCATTCCCCTCCCCCACTACCACTTTTCTAGGATGGTCGCGTACCCCACCTCACCCCGGAGGCTGACAATGTTGGTTCTGTCTGCCAGAGAAAATAGTTCTGGACAAGATCAGTTTTCAGCCTTTTGCGGGAGCTTCTTCCATTCTGCAGGCCCAGCCGAGCGAGCGGCTCTTTGGCAGATAATCCACCTGCGACCAACAGCCTGGCAGTAGGATGGGGGTCTCTCTGTCTCCCCCCCACTCCCCAATTAGCATTCTCCCTGCTTAACCAGAAATGGACACAGGCGGTATCGTCGGCTTAACAACCAAAGAAGCGTGGCCGGCTCAGTGGCCCGGGGACGGCCCAGGAAGCGATGCCCCCGCCGGCTGCCGGCCCAGCCGGGACTGCTGCCCGGCCCAGGGCGACACATGGCCAGCTCGGCTGCCCAGGGAGCGGCCCGGGGACGGCCCAGGAAGCGATGCCCCCGCCGGCCGCTGGCCCAGCCGGGACTGCCCGGACCGGGGAGACGCGTGGCCGGCTCGGCTGCCCCTCTGCCTGGTACAGGTAAGCCGGGGGGGGCGCCACCTGCCCCGTGGCCGCTTCACGGCGGCACTCCACGGACTTGAAGCCCCCTCCCCCCCTGCCACTCACCCTCCATCTCCAGCTCTGCTGCTGCTTGGCCAACCGGTGCCGTGGCTTGCGGGAGGGCTGGCCCGCTCAGCGGAGGCTCCGGCAGGCCGCTCCCAGTGGGGATCCCGGGGCTTCCCCGCGCGGCTCCCCGGCCACGTGTACCTCGGATGGGGCCAGCCCGGGAAAGAGACTTCCTGGCCACCCTTCTCCCAGGGGGCGGGGCACCCGGGCGCAGGGCCAATCAGGAGCTCTGCGAGGGGGCAAGTCCACATGAGAGAGAGAGAGAGGGAGAAGAGAAGCGCAAGTGCCTCTCTGTCTCTCTCTCTGCAAATGGCGGAGGAGGCTCAAAGAGGCGCATGCGGCTCCGGAGCCGCGGGTTGCCGACCCGTGTTCTGGACCCAGGCATGTCAAACTAGTGATGTCACGTGACGTCGCATGACGTATCGCAACTTTTTCCCCATTGTCGGCAAGAGGGTGGGCGCGGTTTCAGCGTGACGCATCCGGCCCGCGGGCCGGCAGTTTGACATGCCTGCTTTAGACAACAGACTGTTCAAAGTTACAATGGCACTGAAAAAAGTGATTTATTACTGTTTTTCACACTTATGACCATTGCAGCATCACCATGGTCACGTGATCAAAGTTTGGGTGCTTGACAACTGGCATGTATTTATGACACTTGCAGTGTCCTGCAGTCATGTGATCACAAAGTCAATGGGGAAGCCAGATTCACTTAACAACCGTGTTGCTAACTTAACAACTGCAGTGATTCACTTAACAATTGTGGCAAGAAAGGTCATAAAATGGGGCAAAAGTCATTTAACAGCTGCCTTGCTTACCAATACAAATTTGGACCTCAGTTGTGATCGTAAGTTGAGGACTACCTGTATCAGGCAATCTTGTAAGAATTTCTGATTGTTCCCAAACAGCCTTTATTTCTTCTATAGTCAGATATTGTTCCATTGTATTAATGAGACTCTTCTCCTTTAATTGTATCTGTTAGTTCTCTCTGGTTCCCTCTAGTCAACCTTCAAGCCCTCTGTTATCATCTGTTTATTTTCCAATCAACAAACTCCCTGGGGAGTATTTCTTACAATTAATTTCAAAATCTTCATATACTCTTTTATAAAATTTTAAACAACCCCCAGGAAATGTTTTTTTCACGTCAGTCTACCCCATTAACTTTCCAAAATCAACATTCTTTTGCTGTTTTCAAAACATTTTCTTCTTAGGCCTTAAACCTGCATAGAAGTTCTTTCAACTTCTGTTGAAAAATGGGGCTTCTTCTCTTGTAATAAAACATCTAGAACAGTATTGTTGAAACTTTGCAACTTTAAGGCCCATGTCCTTGGAATTTCAGGTATGGATTTCAGAGACAATTAAGAACTCAAAGAAGCTCTTAATGTTATGCTTCTAGGTCAGTAGGAGAAAAGTGGTCATCCTTTACTGTTGATTAGCCAGGATCACTTTCCTACCATGTGCCTGCTGAATCCAAGCTCAAAGCAATTCAGCAGGCTCCCAGTCCCAAGACGCAGGGAGAGCTTCAAGCCTTCCTGGGACTCCTTAATTTCTACCATGCTTTCCTCCCCCACAAGGCCGCAGTGGCAGAGCCGTTACACCAGCTCTTGGACAAACAGGCCCCATGGAAGTGGACAAATGTCCACGAGAGGAGTTTTGCTGCAGTTAAAGCATTGTTGTCCTCAAATGCAGTGTTGGCTCATTTCAATGAGCAATTGCCAGTCTGCGTCGCGTGTGATGCATCCCCTTACGGGATCGGAGCTGTGTTAAGCCATCTTAGGGCTGACGGGACACAAGTCCCTATAGCATATTACTCCAGAACTCTTTCTGCTGCAGAGCGCAATTACGCACAAATAGACAGGGAAGCATTGGCCACTGTGGCGGGCATCAAGAAGTTTCATGACTTCTTGTATGGTCGCCACTTCACGGTCTTCACTGACCACAAGCCACTTCTGGGGTTGTTCACCACGAACAAGCAGACACCCCAAATTATCTCTCCTAGAATGTTGAGGTGGTCAATCTTCCTCTCTGCTTATGACTATTGCCTGGTTCACAAACCGGGTAAGGAAATGGGCCATGCTGACGGCCTTAGTAGGTTGCCTCTACAGCTATTAGAATCAGATCCTGCACTGGCCAACCACATCCTGTCTATCCAGGATTTGCCGGAGTCTCCCCTCAATGCAGGGGATGTTGCTGCAGAAACTGCTACTGATCACACGCTGAGCCGTGTGTTGAATTGGGTGATCACAGGATGGCTGAGGAATTCTGGGAGTTGAAGTCCACAAGTCATAAAAGGGCCAAGTTTGAAGACCCCTGATTTAACAATTCAATTATTTAAAATAAATTAATTTTTTTTTAATTTTTTGTCATTCACATTTCATTCTGTCCCTCCTTTTTCAACCTTTCTTAATGATTCTATTCCACCATTTCTTTGATATTAGTGTAACTCTTGTCCTGCAATGAATTGGCCGTGGTGAGTTGTCCCACAGCGAGTTGGCTGTGGTGAGTTGGCTGTGGCAAATTGTCATAGACCCCAACCAATCCTTGTTGATTCAGCATCACCGCTGAGAACTACAACCAAATGGTACAACATGGAATGTCCTGATGTCCAGGATGTAGAAATTGAAATAATAAATAAAGAAGCAAGCGAGCTGTTCTACTTCCCTCCCCTCTCATTTGTTCCACTTTTATCTTTTCCCAGAATAATCAGCTAAGCATTCCTTGGCACAAAGCTTAAGGTTTATTAGGCTATTAGCTACCCCTAATTAGATTTATTGTTTAAAACTAGACATTTCAAATTGTTTGAATTGGATTTCTTTTTGCAAACTTTGGACTTCCTTTAAGTCTCCTCATTCATTGCTCTTGAGCATGACGGTGCCATTTTGCCAACTTAAAGATGGATATTCAGAAAACCAAGCTGGGTACTGTATTAGAAAACAGTATTGGTTCTCAGTTTGGAACTTTGATCAGAAATTTAATAGGGTTCATTATGTGAATGATTGATTCATCAGTGTGTAAGTACTTGCACACAACTTTGTATATCACTGTCTTTATCCTTTCAGCATGTTTGTACTCCTATGCCAGTATCTTCACTGATGCCTTTTGTCTTCCTATTGGCCAATGGGGAGATGTCAAAAATGGCAACCAACCAATTCCTCTTTCCCTGTCTTCATTCTCACCTCTTTGCCTGTGGCTTTTAAAACAAAGCATAATTGTGGCCCTTGCAAGGGAAGAGTAGCAAAACTGATAAATGGACTTCGCTAATGTCAAGGTGTCATGACATGCCATGGATAGAGGGAGGAAAAGAAATCCCTAAAGCTGAGGTGAGACGAACAGGGAATTCCTGCCATTGACAAACTGTCCACTGCACAACTCCAGATGTTTCCTCTAGAACAGGGGTCCCCAACCCCCAGGCTGTGGCCCACTACAGACCGTGCCCTATTTGAAACTAGGCCACACAAGAGGTGGGCCAATGTGCGCATGCAGCTGTACTTGTGCAAGCGGCACCCCAAGGCTTCTCTTCTTTCTTCCATAAGTGGAGCTGGCCACCCATATGCGCCGGCCTGCCAGTCTTGGGGCCCAGTTCACCTCTCACTCCCCCCCAGCCGGGCTGCCAATGCTCCAAAAGTGGTGAGAACAGAGGCTGAGTGGAATGAGAGTGCCGTGCTCAGTTTCGCTGACTCACCGAGGCTGACTGCACAGGACACTGATCTGCTTTTGGAGAGTCAGGCTGCCTCAGTGAGTCTGAAGGAGCACGAGACCACGTTCCCAAAGGTGTCTCTTCTCCATGCCAAAAGCTTTTGCAAAAGGACGAAAGGTGTTGGGGGAACTGTTATATCTTCGGTTCTTTAGGCATTGAATGAGGCAGAGTGTTGAAACAGCAACAAGTTTATTAACTCAGAACAGAAGCAGCCCTAAAGGCTGCTGCACAGCTATTTATACAGTTAGCCTCTAGGTGGCAACCAATAGGTTTAAAGTAACAGTTTCCCACCCCAAACCTAATTATCAGCTTGGAGACAGCCAGTCTGGCTTTCAGTAACAGCAACTGTTAAACAATACAGCAATGTAGGTCAGACATTAAGCAAGTGATTTAAAACAGTTGTGGCCAATACATTACACCCCTTCCTCCTAGATGGCTCAAACTCTCAATTGCTGAGCATAGTCCTGCAGATATTTAGGCGGCCTTCTTTACCGTTCTGAACGTCTAGGGGTTGCAGGGGTCTCCCGGTCTACCCGCTCACCTGCCCGGCTGGGTAGACCAGGACTCTGAGGTCCAGTGAAGTCAGGTTGACTCGGGTCCCTTTGGCTGGCCAGTCCCGGTCGGCCCAAACCAAAGTCCAATCGTGCAGCAAAGTCTGCAGGGCTGTCCCTCAGCGCAGTTTGCCGGTCCTGTTCAGCGGATACTGTCTGTCTGGGGGAAGCTCTCCTACGGCCTTTTCCCCGTCTCCTTGAGTAAGAGTTCTGTTGGAGCGTGCAAGCTCCTCTGTTGGGCTGCTGTCGCACGGCCCTTGCATGCGGCCCTCTTGAGAGGCCTGAGCCAGCGACTGGTTCGCTAGCCTCCAACGCAGCTGGTCAATGTGCTGGCGAATGACTCGCCCATCTTCCAGGACCACCTCATAAGAGAGTGGTCCCGACACCTTAACAACCACGGCTGCCACCCACAAAGCCCCTTGCCCGTAATTCCGGGTCCAAACCCAGTCACCCACTTGCAAATTCTGAGGTGCCTTTGGCTGAGCAGAGTCCGAGGCAACCCGGTCGGGGTGCAGCCTGTGCAGCTTGGTGATCAAACGGCCCCATCTGAGTTCGGCAGGGCTTCTGCCCGTGGTGGTACAGGGAGTTGTGCGTTGGCAGAGTAGAAAATCTGCCAGTCTGTGGTGCCAATCCCCTGTGACAATCCGTTTTAGTGATTCCTTGGTTGTGCAGACCATGCGTTCCGCTTGGCCGTTTGAGGCCGGGTGAAAGGGAGCCGACATGGCGTGCCGTATTAGATTTGCCCTGAGGAAAGACTGGAATTCAGAAGCGGTAAACTGAGCCCCATTATCAGAGACTAACATGTCTGGAAGTCCGTGTGTTGCAAAGATTCTGCGCAGTTCCTGGATGGTCCTGGCAGTAGTCATAGTAGGGACTGGTGCGACCTCTAACCATTTAGAATGGCTATCTACCACTATTAGAAACAGCTGTCCCTGAAAGGGCCCGGCAAAATCGATGTGGATTCTTGACCACGGTGTGTGTGTGTCCTCCCATCGGTGGACAGGGGCTTGCGGCATCTCCGGTCTGGATTGCTGGCATGTGTAGCAACCATGTACTTGGGCCTCGATGGCTTTATCTAGCCCTGGCCACCAAAGGTAGCTCCTCGCAAGTGCCTTCATCCGGACTATTCTTGGATGACCCTCGTGCAGAGACTCTAGGACCCTGGGCCTTGAAGAGCTCAGGACTATGACACTACTTCCCCAAAGGATGCACCCCTTATGAGCTGAAATCTCATCTTTTCTCATGAAGAAACTCTGAAATTCTGGCCCTGGACATTTGTCCAGCCTTCCTGTGTGTACCCAGTTTAGCACACGACTCAGCGTTTTGTCAGCTGCTGTCTCAGCAGCTATGTCCCCAGCATGAAGGGGAGATTCTGGCAAATCCTGGATAGCCAGGATGCGTGCAGCCAGAGCTGGATCTGGCTCCACATGTGGCAGGGGCAACCTGCTCAGGCTGTATGCATGGCCCATTTCCTTGCCCAGTTTGTGAATCATCCTGTAGCTGTAGGCTGACAGGAAGATAGACCACCTCAGCATTCGAGGAGACAGAATCTGAGGTGTCTGTTTGTTTGTGGTGAACAACCCTAGGAGTGGCTTGTGGTCCGTGAAGACCGTGAACTGGCGGCCATACAAGTAGTCATGGAACTTTTTAACTCTGGCCACAATGGCCAGAGCCTCCTTGTCAATTTGCGCGTAGTTGCGCTCTGCAGACGATAGGGTCCTGGAGTAATACGTGATGGGCTTCTGCCTCCCATCAGCCATTAAGTGGATTAACACAGCCCCAACCCCATACGGGGATGCATCACATGCAATGCAGACAGGCAGCTGCTCATTGAAATGAGTGAGAACTGAGTTCAACGACAGCAGTGATTTGACTGCTTGGAAGCTACTCTCGTGGACACTGGTCCACTGCCACTGAGCTTGTCTATCCAAGAGCTGGTGTAATGGCTCTGCCACTGCGGCCTTGTTTGGGAGGAAGGCATGGTAAAAATTCAAAAGGCCTAGGAAAGCCTGAAGTTCTCCCTTTGACTTCGGCCTTGGGGCCTGCTGGATTGCTTTTAATTTGGATTCCACCAGATGAATGCCTTCGGCATCGATACGGAAACCAAGGAACTCGGTTGACTCTACCCCAATCTTGCACTTTTCTTTTTTTAGTTTAAGTCCCACGTCACGGAACCGCTTAAGGACGGCCTTAAGCTGTTCAGCCAGAATCTCAACCGATTCCCCAGCAATGAGGACATCATCGAAGTAGGGGCAAACCCCTGGAATTCCCTTGAGCGTGCGCTCCATCACTCCCTGGAACAGCCCTGGGGCTACACTCACCCCAAACTGTAGGCGCTTAACCTTAAAAGCCCCCCTATGGGTGACAATGGTCTGGGCTACGGCCATGGCCTCGTCCATGGGCAGTTGTTGATAGGCCTGTGCCAAATCTAATTTGGCGAACACACGGCCTCCTTGCAATGACGCCAAAATATGGCTGACAACTGGCACAGGGTACATGTGCTGTTGAAGTGCCCTGTTGAGGGTGCACTTATAGTCAGCACATATTTGCACTTCCCCGTTGGCCTTTAATGGCATTACTATGGGGGTCTCCCACACCCCACTGTCTATGGGCTGCAATACCCCTTGTTCCACTAGCTTATCCAGCTCTGCATCGATTTTGGGTTTTAACGCGAAAGGCACTCTACGAGACTTGATCCGTATTGGAGTTACCATAGGATCAAGCTTGAGGGTGATCGGAGGACCCTTGTACTCCCCTAGACTAGAACTGAAAACATCCGTGAACTCTTGGCAGACTGCACACAGATCTGCCGCTTGTGTTCGGTGAATGCCGGTTACTTGACTGCCCAATACATCAAACCAATTGAGCCCTATGAGTCTTGTGTGTTGGCCTTCTACCACTACGACATCTAGTGGCCCCTTGAACCCCTTGAATTCCACCAGAAGTGTGGCTTCACCTTTGACCGCCACTCGGGAGTTTTGGAAGTCTGTGAGTAGTAGATTACATGGACGAAGCTTGGCCCATCTGTTGCTATGATGGCATAGGTGTCTGAATGTTCCTTGTGAAATGATGGACATGGCTGAGCCCATGTCCAGTTCCATCTTGCATGGAACTCCCTGAAGCTTGACCTGTAGTCTAAGCTTCTGCTTTAAGGGGCGATGGGCACCAGTGTGGAATACGCTCCTTTGGCTGGAGCAGAACCCTACTCGGTGTTGATCCGGGGCCCTGGTACCTCTCCTGAATGCGTCTTCTTTCGGGCGGTCCCTCTGACGACCTTGGCAGACAGCTGTGATGTGGCCTGGTTTGCCACAGGCCTGGCACATTGCAGTTCGGAATCGGCAATCCGTGCGTTGATGGCGGCCTCCACAGCCCATGCATCTAAGGAACGGAACTGCCTTCCCAGCTGGCTACGGTCCCTTCTCCGGGTGCTTTTGTAGCTGGTCGACTTCGTAGTCTGAGTCGGTGTCTTCCATCCACTCGGCGTCCTCATGGTGGATGGCTTCAGTGCTTGGCACACTTTTGGAGGGCCGCAGAGCTTTAACGGCCCCTCCGGCGGCTTCGTCCACCATGACCTCCTTCAAGGCCTCTTGTAGCGAGTCTCCTTAGTGAACAGTTTTTGTTGGGGCTCTCGATTCCGGAGTCCGCAGACTAAACGGTCTCGTAGTCTCTCCTCCAAATCCGCGAAATTGCAGAGTCGGGACGCTTGACGAAGAGCGGCAATGAATTCTGTTGCAGACTTGCCGGGTTGTTGCTCCCGCTGCTCAAAAGCGTGCCTCCACGCTATAACGGATAATTTGGGCTCGAAGTGGTCTCGGAGCTTTTTTTTTAAGTCCGCGTAGGTGACCGACTCGAGCGGCGCCGGGGCGACCAGGTTCTCTGCAATTTCGAAGGTGGCGCGGCCGTACACGCAGAGGAGTGTCGCGGCCTTCAATCCATCTTCGGCGACCTGGTTGGCGCGGAGGTAATTTTCGACGCGGGAGTTGTAGGACGCCCATCTCTCTGGGTGAGTTACATCGAATTCTTCGAGCTTCCCGACCTTCGCCATGGTGGTTTGTTTCTTCGTTCAATGCCTTGCGCTGCTGGCTTCTGTGTAGGCCCTAGGACGGATCCTTCGGGCGTGGTGGTCTCCAGCATGGCTTGCTGGCAGACCGAGGGGTGGGGAACGTAGTTCCTGTCAGGCTCTGTGCTGACCTCACCCCCTAGTGACTTCAAGCTCTCTCAATGAAGCAGCACATCCCATCCTCGTCGCCACTGTTATATCTTTGGTTCTTTAGGCATTGAATGAGGCGGAGTGTTGAAACAGCAACAAGTTTATTAACTCAGAACAGAAGCAGCCTTAAAGGCTGCTGCACAGCTATTTATACAGTTAGCCTCTAGGTGGCAACCAATAGGTTTAAAGTAACAGTTTCCCACCCCAAACCTCATTATCAGCTTGGAGACAGCCAGTCTGGCTTTCAGTAACAGCAACTGTTAAACAATACAGCAATGTAGGTCAGACATTAAGCAAGTGATTTAAAACAGTTGTGGCCAATACATTACAGGAACAATCTCAGGCTGCTTCAGGCCTTCTGTTCCTTTGCAAAAGATTTTGGTGCAGAGAAGCCTGAAGGAATGCACAACTGTGCCCCAAAGGCTTCTCTTCTCTCTTGTGTGAGTGAGGCTATGCACGTATGCGCACACGTGCCAGCCCACTGCTCGCATGACCCAGTTCCCCTCTTTCCCCCTCAGACAGGCTGTCAAATCGTGAAGTTTGGGGACCGCTGCTCTAAAGCATGTAGGAGAATGACTGGCAGAACCTGAGGGTGGAGTTAAAAGAAGGATCAACTTAGAATCCCTACGTAGCCACAAGTGAACTAAATCCAATCTGTCTTGAATTCCGTTGACCCTTATCCAACTTCAAGTAGGTACTGTTAGTTGAGAATATTCCTGTGCAATAGACATAAGTAGCAATAAATCAGTTTAATTGGACCTTCAAGTGTAGACCTGATCTTTTGAGCTTGACAGAGGAGGAGCTGAGACTTGGGCTCCCAAGATTCATGCAAGTTCAACAGCATTATGGCTCAGCCCAGATCTCAGACTGATCCAGCCCTTGAGAATAGAAAGAACCTCAGTTCTGCTGCAGCAGAACCAAGACATCACCAGAAGCCCTAGTGGTGCAGTGACTAGAATGCATTTTTTCAAGCAAACTCTAGCCACAGCTGGAGTTCGATCCTAATGGAGCTCAAGGTTGACTCAGCCTTCCATCCTTCTGAGGTTGGTAAAACCAGGACACAGTTTGTTGGGGCAGTATGCTGATTCTGCAAACCACCCAGAGAGTGTTGTAAAGCACTATGGGGCAGTATACTATATTAGTCTAAGTGCTATTGCTATGTTGTCGTTTCTGCTGCTGCGAGCAAGTAGCAATTGTGAGACTCACTAGTAGTCATGTTGATGGATGCTTCTTGACTACAACTTCCATTCAGGATTCTATACACCATCACATTATATTCCTGCCTGGGAGGCAACTTTGCCATGACTGGGCATGCATTTGTCCGGCTGCTTTTAGAGGTCATTACAGAGGGGTCTCTGGAGGCTTCATGACAGCAGTTGATTACATCTTGCCAGTTAAGAGTTACAGAACAGTTGAGTTCCTCCAGTGAAATCAGGCCCTCCGTGGGATTCAGCTCTGTGCACAAAATGAAACAAATGAATCAGAAATAAAGAGAGGATGTCGTTCTCATTTCCCAGGTAAACATCTTCACATTCACCAGCTCTTTCCCCTTAGGGTGCAGCTCTGGGTTCTTCAAGCTGGTGTTCCAGGGAATCAGTGTATCTGACAACATTTTCCTTTGCCCCACCAGGCTTCCTGCTCTACCTGACTTCCTAAATAGTACTACTACTACTACTAATAATAATAATAATAATAATTATTATTATTATTATTATTATTATTATTATTATTATTATTATTATTATTATTATTATTATTATTATTATGCAAGATGATCATGCAGATTGATTACAACAATTTGGCAAAGTAGCAACAATGGTGCATTGGAATATCTGCAAGAAATTTGCCTGCCAGCAAGAACTGGTGAGATCACAAAATAAACAAAGAGAAATGAAGAAACCAAAGTGCACTGGGACTTTAGAATTCAAACAGGTGGCCTTCTGTCAGAGACCAACTCTCTACTCCATAGAGCAGGATAGAAAAAATATAGCATCTGACAAGCCTGATTTTCAGTCTTAGGCTTATGTCGTGAGTGGCAGCTGGCTCCCCAGTATCGACTGAAGGCGAAGACCATATTGGTTGGAACGGATTCAGAAGAACAGCACACGGTGTGGTGGCAGCCACTTGAACAGCGTGTGCACAGCGGTGTAGAAACCAAAGGGAAGACTACTACACTATATATTTCCCAGGACAATCATGTTAATGGCGGCAAAACCTAACAACACAGCTTCGGCTTACAAAAACTTTTGCCTTTTAATAAAATGTGTTAATTGGAAAAGGTGTTACTAGACTCTTCCTGATTTTTGTTGCTACTACAGGTAGCTTTGACCATGTGCTTAGTGACAAAGTTACAAGGGCACTGAAAAAAATCACTTATGATCATTTTTCACACTTACAACCATTGCAAGCATCTCCATGGTCACGTGATCAAAATTCAGAAGCTTGACAACTGACTCATGTTTATGACGTTTGCAGTGTCCTGGGGTCATGTGATCATTTTTCCTGACAAGCAAAGTCAGTGGGGAAGCCAGATTCACTTAATAACCGTGTTTCTAATTTAACAACTGCAGTGATTCACTTAACATATGTGGCAAGAAAGATTGTAAAATGAGGCAAAATCACTTAACAAGTCTTGCTTAGCAACAGAAATTTTAGGCTCAATTGTGGTCATAAGTGGAGGACTACCTGCATGGCTCTCCTAGAACTAGTACAAGCAGGAAGCCGCCACAGCTAGCAATATTGTGTTTGATCATAGAGAATAGTCCTCCCAAAATCCTCTTAACTTTTTTTCAGCCTTCATTATTGAAATCTTGGGTTATTGAACCTTTAAATGAAGGCAGGGGAGGGGGCACCACAGGGGTAGCTGAGTCACAAACCCTCCCCACACAGTGATCTGTAGATGGCTGCCTCCTTCACCCCCAACTTTTGGGAAAGTTTCCCCCATAAACGAAATGGGCTGTTTTTCTAGAGAGGAGGTTGCATATTTTTCATCAAAATGTTTTGGAACAAAACTTGGACCCTTCATTATTGGAATGGGAGATTTGTCTCTTGTCAGCCAACCCACAGATGGTGTGCTTCACAGATTGCCTTTGTAATGGTTTCCTTCATCCTGTCAGGCCTGGCCTGTGTCAGCAAGTCCCCCCTCCCACTCTCCAGCTGCCCTGTTTATCCTCCAACAGGAAATTCACAGCTGGAATTGACCGGCAAACGGAGGCACCAGAACTCCAGATAAGGCTCCAGAGACACGTTGCAGCTGGAGATGGGGAAGGCAGCCTAATCAGCCAACATTTTTTTCTTTCTGATCTGATCCCTGATGTTGTGGGAATGGGGGTGGAGGGGAAACCCAAGCCTTGATTGGTGACAAAT